CACTCAGTGTCAGGGTGCAAAGACTGAACTAGATTTTGGCAGCAAGGGGACGGCAGGAATGGGCAGACTGGGCCCAGAAACCTGTCCTATGACCCCTTTGCCATCATGAGAGGCTGCACAGCTGGTGCTAGACTTACCAGCTAGTAACTAATGCCAAGTTGGTGAGTTCCTGGAGGTCAGGGGCTGATCCATGTTATATCTCACTCACAAGCCCCTAAAAATGTCCATTGGTGGGGACCGATTCATTCATTCAACAGGGACGTTCCACCTAGAGCAGGTCTAGTTGAAATCAACTATTCCAATACAGTCTGACGATCACATGGAAGCTCAGGGCCATGGGAAGCCCTGAGATGGGGCCCTAAGCCACCTGGGGCTGTGCAGTCAGGGAGGGCTTCTTGGAGGAGTAGTCCAAGGAGAAAGGAGAGGGAAGGGCATCCAGGTAGGGCAATTGATGGGCAAAAGTATTTGGGCTAGAGACAGAATTTGGGAGTCATGGCACTTCCAAAGGTAACTGAAGCCGTGAGAACAGAAGGCCACGGAGGAGCAACTGGAGAAAGAGGAGTGTCTGGAGCAGCTCATAGAGTCTCCAGAGGTAGCAGAGGGCATTTCTGGAGAGGAATGAGAATCCAGGACAGGCCTCAGCTCCTCCCAATGAGGCCAGGGGTAGGAAGACAAGCAGGGGGTCAGTGTGGACCTGTGGTTCTCCTTGAAAGGATGTCAGGATTTGGGGCTCAGGGCTCCGGGAGGAGGGAACCCCTAAGTTTCCTGGGCCTCACTGCAGGCAGTCTGGGGAGGCTGGGGCCCAGCCAATGGCAGGGCCCCATGCAACTCCTCCCCATCCAGGGCCGGCGGCACACCCAGGCTGCCTGCCGAAATCGGCAAGCTCTGTCCCTAGAAACAGCCTTCCCTAAACACTCTTCCTGGTTCTGACATGAGTTCCGGCTGCCTGCTGAGTTCGACCACCAGCGGCCAGGAGGAGTAGCCACTCAGGTAAGGCCATTTGTGCCCAGATGTGCCCTGCCCCTCGGCATACCTGGAAGAGGGAGATTTCTCTGGTGGAGAGTCTGGGGAGTAGCCTGGACACATCCCATGTCCTGATAGTGGAGGAATGAAGGGCTCCGCCCTCCTCTGCTCTCAGTTTTCCCCCTCTCTCCCCAGCTGAGCAGAGGTGGGAGCCAGGGACTGAGTGGGAGAGGGGCTCACAGAGGGGCCAGGAGCTGAGGAGGCAGATCTGCTCTGCCTGGGCCTGCCAAACCCCACCCTGCCCTGCCCCGCCCCGCCCCAGATTGGGCTGGGCAGAGAGCCCCTGGGCTGGAGCCTCCTTGGTATTCCCTGAGGAGCTGCCAGGATTTCCACCCACCTTAGGCAGGACTGAGCAATTACAAGCTGATGATTCAGAGCAGAGGCCCCACATTCAAGTGGTAAGTAGACGGGAAGGTGGAGAGATGACGGGGTGAGGAGCAGAGTCACCCTCGGCCTCCCTCACTGGGGATCCACCTGGTGGAGGAAGGAGTGGGCACAGATCAGACAGGCAGAAGACTTCCTGCAACCTCAGGAAAGGGCCCAGGCCCAGAGTGTGGGCCCTGGAGCCAGCCAGCCTTCAAATCCCAGCTCTGCCACTTACCAGCTGTGTAACTGCGAGCAAATTAATTAACCTCTCTGTGCTCCACTTTTCTCATTTGTAAATTGGGGATAAACCATCTACCCTTTTATACAGTTGCTGTATTGGTTCATGCAAAGTGCTCAGAACAGTGCCGGCACTGCCTAAACACCCAGTAAATGTTGGCTTTTGTCACTACCTTGCTTATCCGAAGCAGATAGTGCAGGGGGTCAGGACAGTGTGATGATCTTCAGCCTGGACCAGTCCTGGAGGAGCATCAGGAACCCCTTAGAGCAACAGACTGTGCAATATATGCATATGTACG